GCATAGAATGAGATACGGGAAGATGCTCGTGACAATGCCGAGATTATGCGCTGCATCGCCATAATTCGAGTCCCGCTGGGGGTGCTGATGAAAGTGCTAGCAAGGCTATGTGAAATTCACGCTATCAACTTTAAAGAAAATAGGGCAAATACACCTCATTTATATGATCTGCCGGTGGTAGCAAAAGCCTACTGATGCGTGGAAAATAGGGTATATTGGAAAAACGGACCGACTTTGTTGTGATGGAGCCATAATCAGTGAAAGTCATCACGGAGTAGTTGTTAAGAGAGACACTGATTGCCTAGTTGTCTCTTATTATAGTCACCATAGCTTCAACTTTATGATATTTGCCCGGAATCCACCTACCTGAAGATTGGAGGTTCACTTACAAGTGGCACCTGTACAACTTGGAGACAACATTGGCACAATTTAGCCACTAGCGTCGGGTTATGAGTGAGAATACAAACTCACAAGCTCCTGTCGTGTACGCAACCAGACGCACTTGACTCGCGAGGATTTGTCCGCTCCCACTCGAAATTTGGCATGTGATTTAGATGAAGAAGAGTCAGAAGGAAGAAAATTGGATTTAGGAATTTGATCCGAAACAAGATGAAGCGCTCGATGCAGGAGTCGCGCCGAGACGTGTCTGGACCATAGGCCTGGCTCACAGTCGAGACGATGTGCATCGAAGCCACAACCGAGCCTGGCTGCCGAGGGAAGATGGGACGAACGAAGGGAAGAAGAGGATGAATACTGACGAACGCTTTGAGATCGGCTTAAGCATGCATGTTGGGTGGTTTTAGCACGAGAGTGACGAAAGTCGTGGAATTTTGAGAAATAATGGGCAGACGAGTAGGAAGGACAGTTTGGCAATCGAGGACCAGGTCGGTGGGTGAAAAATGGCAGAAAAGTTGGCTCGGAAAGTCTTGAAACACGGGCCAGCATGGCTCGCGTCTGACTGTCGAGGAAGCGAGCCGATGAGGGAGTGCTTAACTGGAGAGCGAAGGCATGGCCAT